TGTTTGTTTTTCTTTTCTTTGTTGAGGTTATCAACCTGCTTATGATTCAACAGAAAATGACAAAAGTCAAATAAAAGAAATGACTAAGTTGATCTGAGTTGTTTCCTGCGTCCTCTGTGCCAAGCCTGGTCGAGTTCAGGCAGACAAACCCCAAAATAACTCGACAGTTGATAACCAGTCGGGCAGCCTGGACAAAGAGATAAACGGGTCCAGTGTAAAGCTGTAGACGCAAGGGTGAAAGCTTTGAGTGTCAACAAAATCTAAAATGGCAGAAGATGTTCTGGAGAAGACGGTCAAACAGCTCAAAAGAGAGAGGACCACTGCAAAAAGCAGCTTCACCAGACAAGCCAACTTTATAAGTAAAGGAGCAGATGGCATGGTAGAAGAAGAGCTACGGGAGGAATTCAATAAGCTTTCAGTCTGTCTAAGAAATATATTTGAAGCGAACGATGAATACAGGATTGGCTTGCTGGCTGAGGCAACAAAAGAAGAAGAGGCGGGCCTTGAAGAGCAGCTGGAAAGTGATATAGAAAAGACTGTTGGTGAGGCTGAAACAAGGTTTAATGAGGTGTGTGGAATCATCCAGAAGAACCTGTGGTCAAAGTATGGTCAAGATGAAATCACAACTGCAATCCTGGTGGCAGAGGAAAGTGCTGATGTAACAGGAAACCTACCTGTTCAGAGTACTCACCTGGAGGGGTACGAGGTGCATCTAAGTCTCCTGGAGAAGAGGATGAAGGAGGTCATCAAGGCCATGTCAAAGTGGGAGAGATGGATCCCTGGCTTGGAGAAAAGAGATCTTGATGGCAGGATCAGAGATCTCAAAGGAACCAGCAGTAGGCTTGAACTGAGGAAAGCTGAATTTGCCACTGCACGGAGAGTTGCAGAGGAAGCAAGTGCTGCGCAACCTGCAAATGTGGTGGATGGAGGTCAAATACAAGCAGCACCTACAGTGAGGATTAAACCGACAGCTCTTCTTACCTTCAGTGGAAACAACAGAGATTATTACAGATGGACAAATGATTGGGAGAATCTTCAGAGACAAGGAGAGCCATCTGGGTCGGCAGAGGTCAAGAAAATTCAACTTCTCAGCAGCGTTGAAGACAAAATAATGAAGGATCTCAGACTGTCAACCTACACTACTGCTGATGAGATCTTCAGAGTCATGGAGAACAGGTTCGGCAATAAGGCAACAATTGTCCTAGAAATCCTAGAAGAATTAGAGAAAATGGCTCCTGTGAAGGGAAATCAACCAAGGAAAGTCATCGAAATAATTCAGACTGTGGAAAAAGCCCTAGCAGATCTGACAGAGCTGGGGAGCTCCGGTGCGATGAGGAACCCGTTGGTCATCAGGACAATAGAGAGTAAATTACCTGATTTTGTGAAAAGAGACTGGTTGATCTTCATGCTAGAGTCAAGCAATAATGTCACCCCAGAGAACCACTTTGATCTGCTCTTGAAGTTCCTAAAAAAGCAGGAAGGCATCCTGGAGAGACTTGAGCAGCTCAAAAGTGTGGAGAAGAGGGAGAGACCAGACTATTGCCCAGGAAGGAAACCTGAG